TGGACTTTTCCAAGCATTGCTGCTGGAGCAAATTAATGAGTCAACCACCATCCTTAGAATTTAGGGATGTAGACTGTTAGTAATGTTAGGTGAAGATGCTTTTGTTAACGGCTTTGACGTAAAAAAAAAACTTGGGGAGCAATTTAGAGTTTAGAAAGGCACGCTTTTAGTGGTTGGCACAGGACCTGTTGAGTCTAGGCACAGGAGCAAAGGCAGCCAGATATTACGAGTTGTTGTAGCTGTTGCTTATGGTTTTTTACTCTTTACTCTTTTGCTCTTTTGGGCGTCCTGCCATCTGACTCCCAAGCAAACACGCGCATGGATACTTACTATTACGTATAAATGCCAGCCTTAGCTTGGCTTATTTCTTACCAGCTTCTCTAAACTTGAATTATTCTGACTACCTTTTGCCTCTGGGCTTTTCCTTTCTCTTACTTCTGTATAACTTGCTTTCACTCTTTCTCAGTGGCTGGCTGTGTGGCTGGCCCCGAGCGTCCCCTTCCTCTCGTTCTGCCTCGCTCCTTTTCCTCTCTTCCCAGACTTCTCCTCTTATCCATCCTCTCTGCCTGCCAGCCCTGCCCAGCCTTTCTCCTGCCATTCAGCTCTTTATTAAGCCATTGAGTGCTTTAGACAGGCAAAGAATCACAGCTCCACAGGGTTAGACAAATGCAGCATAAATAAAAGCAAGACATCTTTACATTGTTAAGCAAGTGTTCCACAGTGTAAAGAAAAGTGATACACCTTAAAACAGTATTCTACAGCACTAGCTGACAGGCCTTTCTTGCTAAAGAGGTGATGAAAGCCAATGTTTAATTCCTTATACTCATTTCTCCCCTCAGCTTCCTGATATAAAAAACTGTTGATGACTGGGTATGCACCATGAGGAGATAAGTAGGGATGACTGATTGTTTTTCATATATAAAAATTTAGATTTGTCATTCTTTCAAGATTTTTTATAAAATTATTTTTTGAGATAAACAAGAAGATGATTGATGTTTTCTTTGTAACTACAAAATACAGCCTGCCAGTAAAAGAACCGACGAAGAAAATCACCCTGCTTGCTTACACTTTGTTAATCTATAGCAAGTTGCTTGGACATGAATGTATGTGGGTCCTTGAGAATAATTTGCTTTTTACCTATAATACGTGAAATGTTTAATCATGTAAGGGAAATGAGAAACACGCTGGTTTTATTACTTGTATTTATTGTAATTACTTAAAAATAGAACGTAAAAAAATAGAATGTAACCGCATTGTAATTTTTATATTGCTTGAAAGATTTTGCTGGGGTATACAGCCTGAAAGGGAAAAGATGTTAGAAGGAAAACACCAGGAAAGATGTAGAGGGGAAGATAAAAGGAAAGCATCGGAGAAATGTAAAAGGGAAAAATAGAGATGAGAGACCCTGATGTGTCGAAGATGTATGTGTGTGTGATTTCCCCTTTTTCTACAGCCCCAGAAAACTAAGTTTCGCTCTCTCAGACAAAAAAGTCAACTAATTGTCAACTCCATGTCTCCTCGTCAGCTCCTGACCTCTTGAAAGCCAGCCTTCAGCAAAGATTTGAGTCTAGCTTATATCTAATGCATACTTGGGTAAAAATTATTAAATAAAGTTTTAAAATTTAACTGATGAATCAATATTTGATCAGTCATTGCCTTCACACCTTATTAAATCTTGTATTTCTAATCATATTGCAAAACTTGTTGAATGTATATTTCCCAGAAGGGTTTTTTTTTTTTTTTTTGGTTTTTATGAGACAGGGTTTCTCTGTATTGTTTTGGAGGCTGTTGGTCCAGCCCAGCCTCGAACTCACAGAGATCCACCTGCCTCTGCCTCCTGAGTGCTGGGATTAAAGGCATGCGCCACCACCGCCCGGCTCAAAAGGTATTTTTAAGGAAGATTTTTAATTATTTTTATTTACATGTGTGTGTGTGTGTGTGTGTGTATGTGTGTGTATGTGTGTGTATGTGTGTGTGTGTGTGTGTGTATGTGTGTGTGTGTGAGTTTGTTTGTACCAAATGTGTGAAGGTGCCCACTGAGCCACAGAGTGTTGGACCTGCTGGAGCTGGGGTTATGGGTGGTTGTGAGCCATCTGAGATGGGTTCTGGGAACTGAATCCAAGTCCTTAGCAAGAATAACTGCACTCTGTAGTTGGGCTTTTCTTTGGGCTGCCAGCTCACAGAAAATGACACGGAGACTCATTAATCATGAAATCGGCCTCATCTTAGGCTTGTTTCTAACTGGCCTTATAGCGTAAATTAACCCATTCCTGCTAATGTGCTTCCTGTCACGTGGCTTTGTTACCTCATCTCCTTCCTGCCCATCCTGCTGCTCTGCATCTCCTGGCACCTCCACCTCCTGTTTCCCAGCATTCTCTCTGCTCAGAAACCCTGCCTTGCTATTGGCTGTTCAGCTTTTTATTAAACCAATCAAAGTGACACATGTTCACAGTGTACAAAAAGACTACTCAGCGTCATTCTTAACTGAGGAGCCGTGTCTCCAGCCCCTCTGGAGACATTTTAGAGATTAGTAACCTGTAAGTGTGGCATATGTGGTTACCTTTTGAAACATTGTGCTGTTGCACATTGTAAATGGTTTTATGCAAAAGATTGTCCAGTCCAAATGGTCAGCTTTGAAAACATAACATACAAGTAATTTTATATGGACTGGACACGTTGCATTTAGGAATGCATACATACGAACATGTATGCATGCAATAACAATGACTGAAAAAATAGGCCACGGATTTGAAGGACGGCGTAGAGAGGCAGATGGAAAAGTTTGGAGGAAGGAAAGGGCAGGGAGAAGAAACTTGAAATAAAAAAATGATAGTGGAAATTATATAGTTCTAATCATACAATTAAAAACATTAAATGGCAAAAAAGATGTGACTCTAGGAGTCACTTTATTACAAAGACAAGCAGTGGAAACTCGCAAGACAGAAATAAAAAAATGACAAAACAGCTTCAGTCCTAACAAAGTTCCCGGAATGCAAGCCAACGACAGATATTTGGGGGCAGAGGGCATTGTTAATGGATTAAGGGCAAGAGCTAGGCTGCTGTCATCTGCAGTTCCCCTGGGATACAGCATGCATCCACTTGAGTTAAGCCTTTTCTGGCTGTAACTAAAGCATCTCACCCGTGAGTTACGGGAAGAAGGTCGGATACTTTGAGAAGACACAGTCCGTCATACGGGGGAAGTCATGGCAGAGTTTATGGTGATGGTGGTGTCCTGGAGCTGGCGCTTCCCACCTGGCATCAGCCAGGAGGCTGAGAACTGGGAGGGCGGCCTGGAGCCCACAAGCCTCACCCCTACAGCTCTGTCCAGTAGGCCCTGTGTTCAAAAGATTCTAAAACCTCCAGAACTGTACCCTTCGCTGGGGATCAACTGTAGCAAAGTCGTAACAGAGTCCATTGTAGAAAACCAGCCTGATCTTGTGATTATCAGTGGGGTGAGGGAAAGGTGGTCTTAATTCCCCTTTTGCCACACAGTGCCAAATTTGGTGATTAGGAATGTTACCTGAAACTAATCTCTCCCACTCCTGGAGAGCTGAGAAACCCCAGGGTGTTCAGCAGCTCTGGGGCCCTGGGGTCCCTAGTGTGTCTTTAGGGTCTGTGGTGGTGTGAATGAGAGTGTACCCCGTGTCTCAGTTAGTGAACTGTTCAGGAAGGATTAGGGGGTGTGGCCTTGTTGGAGGAGATATCACTGGGGGTAGGGTTTGAGGTTTCAAAAGCCCAAACTGTTGGCTATTCATGCCCACTCCAGGGATGTGCGAGCCAGGGGTGGGGGAAGGGGAGGGCATCCTGGCAGTCGGGAGTCAAGCAAAACCATGAAGCACACCACACACACAAACCTCACACAAGAGATCCATTGGGAAAGACTCAGAACAGCCTCCTGTGGGGGTGGGGGGAGCTTTTCCAATCCCTCCAATCCCAGGCCACAAAGGAAAGGGCTCTGGAAGGGTCCACCCCCCCAACCCTGTATAAAGCCTGTCTTCTGCCCAGTTCCCCGCTGCGCCTCCCCGAGCAGAGGCAGCCACCCACCCTCCTGTGTCTTCCCCAGTGAACCTCCCGTGTGAGGTTTGTGTGCGGTGTGACTCTGTGGTTTTGCCTGACAACTTCCCCTCTTAGCTGTAACACTTAACGCATACGGGGCCCAGCCCTCTGCTCCCTCTCCGTCTCCACCTTGCAGATCAGTTCTCGGCCACCCCCTCCTCCGGCACCCTGCCTGCCTGCCTGCCTGCCATGCCTGCCACGCCTGCCTGCCTGCCTGCTTGCCTGCCACGCCCGCCACGCCCTGCCCTTCCCTGCCTGCCACGGCGATCCCACTGTCTGAGACCGTGAGTGAGCCCTCGATTAAACGCTGCCTTCTCATAAGCTGCCTTGGTCATGGTGTGTGTCTGCCGCAACGGAGCAGTAAGTACACGGGGTCCTCACTATCTGCCTTCTGTTCATCAACCCTGATGGAGCAGAGGGCTGTGCCCTGTCATCCCCGGGGGTCCAGGATTGCCCCGCCTCGCTCGCCAAAGCAAACGGGAAACACGTATTTCTGTGCATTCCACGGGACTCCTCAGCCCGATGCTGACCAGGTGGAGGGCCAGGAGCCATAATTCCCTTTGGCGGGAGGCAGACATTCTGGTGGACGGACGGCAGGGTTCGCTTTCCTAGGCTGCAGGATCATGCTGCAGCGTCTTCCAGGGTGCTGTGCGTGGTGACTCTGGCTTCCTGAGAGTTACTCCTCTTCTGGACTCCCTTTCAGGGACCCATAGACTGATCCCCACACCCTCCCTGTTTGAAAAGGTTCCGGCGACCACATTCTTGTTCTCTGGTCTTGAGGAAGTGAGTTAAATTTCCAACTGAGAATATACACCAGCAGAGATTCACAGTGTATTCTAGATGTATACGACCAAATAATGATATTTCAGGTCGTTTGCGTCACTCTTTGAAATCGCATGTTCCTTAAAAGACCCTTCACAAGACAAAAGAAAGGCCGGTGATACTTCTTTACAATTTTTCTTTTATTAGCTTTGTAATTGTTGCCATTATATTTTCCTTTATGCCGGAGTTATGGCAGAGGGCAAGTAGTTTTAGAGACAGTGAAGAAAGGTAGGAAGGTTGCTTTAATTTTTCCCAAGCCTGACTTGAGGGGAAATTCACGCACCCTTTCAGCCTGTGGAACAGTCGCCGGATCTTTATTAAGCTGGCCAGCAGCAGCAGGTCGTCTTCGCTCAGGAACCGCAGAGCTGGGAGCTCCTCTGGGTCGTGGAGCTTGTTGGGAAAGAGAGGGAGGGAGTGGAAGCTGAGTGTCCCGGAGTGGGAACGGGCAGGTGGGAGGAGGCAGGTTAAATGAGGCCTGTCAGAGTCTGAGAGGTGTGTTCCAACTCACCGTGCACGTGGGAACACACCATATGAATGTGAATATGAGTTCGCACACTGTGGATCTCTCTCTGCATCTATGTGGCAGCTTTGGATGCTTAGTGCATATTCAGTGCCAGGTACCATGTGCTCAGTATTTTACATTGCCCCAGACTTCTCACAGCAGCTACAAGGCAGGAATCATTGCTTATATTATAGTTGGGAAGCTGAAGCCAAAGCTCACCCATACAGCCAAGGGGCAGTGCTGAGACTTGAAACTACAGACTGTAGCTTGATGTCTTTCTTCACTCCTGCACCCTGGAGGGTGTGCTCTGATCAAGTCCGGGCAAGGCGCTAGGATAAAGGAAGCAGGGAGAGCCTGTTCTGACCTTTGGGAGCTAATTGTCAGTGGGAGAGGCAGCCATGATGCAAGAGAGGCAGCTGGTCCCGGCCAGGGCAGGGCAGGGAGAGTCCGTGGCAGCTCAGAATGTGGGAGATGATGACCGGGTAGGGACCTCGGCAAGCTGGCAGTGTCTCCTGAGGAGCCAGGGCTTGAATTTCCTCTTAACGTGATCAGAACTCACGTTTCCTGACCCAGCCTAGCTTTCGGCCCTAGCAGAGAGCAAACTGAAACCTTGCAGCACAAACTCTAACACAAAACTACCAAGGTAAACAATGCAGGTCACACCTGACCCATGCTACTGGGGACTTACGTCGGAATTGGAGGAATTTTGACAGAGAGGAAAATGTAAGGCTGCTTCAATTACACAGAGAGCCTTCACTGTCAATTCTGAAAATTCTCAGCGGACAGATTAGGCATAAATATATTTGATCAGTAATATCATTAACAAAAGTAGTTTCTCTTGATGCCGGGCGGTGGTGGCACACGCCTTTAATCCAAGCACTCGGGAGGCAGAGGCAGGAGGATCTCTGTGAGTTCGAGGCCCGGCTGGACCGACAGCCTCCAAAACAATACAGAGAAACCCTGTCTCGTAAAAAACAAAAAAAAGTAGTTTTTCTTGAAATGATTTAAACATTTTTTTTTTTTAGCGCACTCACCGTTACTTTAGTCCCAACACTGATTCTTGCCTGTTGGCCCATTGCTAGAAAATTAATGGAGACCTTGTCTTGTTCTAGGATGCGGATTCCAATGTAATGGTTCAAAGCCAGAAAGACTGGCTTAAATGAGACAAAGGACGAGGGAGGCATGGAGCTTGACCAGTTCCAAGTTCGAATTCTGTTGCCGGCCTGATCCGAGTATTGGCCTCCCAAGATGTTGATGTATACCCTGGGAGGAAATCAGAGGGGAAATGGGAGAGCTGTGAGTGGTGGCTCACTTGGAATCATAGCATGCACGGGCTGTGTCAGGACGATTGCCAGAGGAAGACCTTGGCTTCAAAACCAGAAACAAGGCTAAATGGTGGTGGCGCTCGCCTTAACCCCAGCAGGTAGAGGCGGGCAGATCTCTGTGAGTTTGAGGCCAGCCCGGTCTACAGACTGAGTGCCAGAACAGGTTCCTAAGATACACAGAGAAAAACAAAAACAACCACCCCCAAAAAAAGAAACAATAAAAACAACCCCCCAAAAATATCCTACCAATGGTAGCTCAAGAATTCAAGGCTGAGTTAGCCCCGACACTTCCTAACCCTAACCCTAACACTAACCCTAACCCTAACCCTAACCCCCACACTTCCTAACCAAGGCACAGGAGTGGCGGGATCCTTAGGAAACTTCAGAAGTACTACTACTCACTTTATGATATTTGAAGTACTGGGTTCAAATTGAAGCATATTGATAAACTGAAGTGGGCCCTCCCAAAAAAAGCTGGGGGGCGGTGAAATGGGAGCCCTGGAGGTTTCATCTAGGAAAATAAAGGATGCATAGGGGGAAGCTGTTCCTGAGAGAGGAAGGACCAATGCTCAGATTTTCATCAGGACAGAATGCAAAACTGTGGATGTAAATCAGGGGGATGCCCAGATCGGTCCTTGTTAAAGAAAGCGGATGCAGCTAAAAGTCCAATGCCCTTCCATATATATATATGGAAGGGCATATATATATATATTTTTTTTGGGGGGGGTTAGAGGGTGCTGGTTGCCGATCCTGGGACCTTGACCATTCTATGTTATATATTTGGGGGGGATTAGTGGGTGCTGGTTACCGATCCTGGGACCTTGACAATTCTGTTATATATTTGGGGGGGATTAGTGGGTGCTCGTTACTGATCCCGGGACCTTGACCATTCTATGTTATATATTTGGGGGGGTTAGAGGGTACTGGTTACCGAACCTGGGACCTTGACCATTCTATGTTATATATTTTTGGGGGGGGGGTTAGAGGGTGCTGGTTACCGAACCTGGGACCTTGACCATTCTATGCGTGCACTCTCCCACTGGGCTGCACCACCTGCTAATGGGTTCCAGGCTTTTGGGGGCTGGGTGTGGGAAGCAGGGGCTCAGGGTTACTGCAACAGGAGTTCACTGCAACGGAGAAGAGTTCTACAGCAGAGCAAGGTTGTCACTTACACCAAGTGGGCTTCTCCAACCAGGTGGCATCGCCAGGGACCCACATTCACTCCATTACCAGCAGTCATGCTTGCTCTGAGGCTTCCTGTCACCATGGCGTTCCACGGTGCAACCTCATCCCAAGCTCCCTTACTTTCTTCAGCAGAGGTAACCATCCCTACCATGAGAGAGGTCTGTGCTCTTAGGAGGCTGGCTTGCTTTGACAATGCATTCCCTGTTTCACTGTGTGAAATGCCCACGAGGGCCCCCATGAGCAAGATGACTAGTATCCTGTTTCTCCAGCACTGACTGCTGATACTAACCTGACAGCGAAAGGAATGGAAAACACCAAGGGGACACCCTGCTAGACCTGGGAAGGGGCCATCTCACACAGCCAATATTAGACTAAACTGTCCCGAATCCGCTCTCCAGTCGTTCCTGGAGTCCATGCCATAGACTTAGCTGTGTAAAGACGAAGATTCAGGACATGCCTTCAAGAAACTTCAGTCCACGGGGAAAGCAGACTTGCTGCACACAGGCAGAGGGAAAGGGCTCTGGGAATGTCAGGGACCAGAGTACCCAAGAGTTCAGTTCACAGGGGTTGGGGATCCCTGAAATCCCTGGTCTCTACAACTGACTGAATTGACATAGGTGACGATTATTACAATACTCCTCCAAATGCAACACAGACTTACTAGTTAATCATGAAGGATACGTAGAAATTTCCTATTATACAAAGTGTTATTGGATCTGGTGCTACCGTGGGCCAGAAATGTATTTCTACACACTGTGTCCCAATTTTGTCAGCACTGGTAAGATCCAGACTTTGCCAGTTATTGACAGAGTTTCCCGAGTGAGATTATACCTAGAGTATACCGAGAGATAATTTCAAAAGACATGTATGTATCTCAAGGAGTAAGCAACACAGTGTAGTTAGTGTGTTGGAGTTATATCACTATCTAAAGACTTAAATAGATCTTTCTAAAGCCATTCTTATCAAGAGAAAAGATACAATTAAATAATAACAGTGAGAAAAAAATAACGAAAACCGCAGAGAGCAGCAGGGTCCTGAGGCACCTACCAGACATTTCCATTAGGATGATAGCAGGAGCCTCTCCCAGAGGAGTCCAGCACTGCCAGAATAGCAGGGCTGGTGGGCGTGTCTTCCTGGACAATGCAGGTGAAGCCATCTGTCTTGTTGGGCACCTGGATAATGGCTAGATTTCCAGATGGATAGCTGAGGTCAGATAAGGTCCTGTGAGCATTTCTAGTGATCCTGGACTATGCTTGGAATAAAGTTAATTTATGAAGGGTGTTTTGAAATTATGAGGCATTTGGAAAGGTCTCTGTTTTAATACAAAAATAAACGTACGCTTTTATATGGGCCAAAATGTGTGTCTGGAAGGTAAAACATGCCGAACAAAATGTAAGAAGTAGAATTAGAAATATGGAGGAGGACAATGCATCATGATAAAATTAAATTTACCCCTCCCAAAATGTAAGGTTGCCTCAACATCTGGAAATCAGCAAATAAAATAAACCACGTTCATAGAATAAAAAGCAAAAAGAGCATGGTCATCCCAATATTATAGAAAAATCACCTGAAGAACCTTTACTGCTTCATGATACAGAGACTTGGGAGTCTTCAAAGAGATTGGCACATCTTCAGCCTGACAGAGCATAGTCACAGAAACGCCATAGGCTAACATTCTACTTAATGGTATGGTCTCCCAGTAAGATGAGAACCTAAACAAAGACGTACATTCCCACACCCTCCAATGATTAATATCCTTATTACAAGTGTGTGTGTGTGTGTGTGTGTGCGTGCGTGCGTGCGTGCGTGCGTGTGTGTGTGTGTGTGTGTGTGTGTGTGTGTGTGTGTGTATGTGCCGCAGAACTGGTCTCTCTCTCTCTGTGCACTATGTGGGTCCTGGCGAATGACCTCAGTTCATCAGGCTTGGTGGAAAGGACCTTTACCCACCATCCTGCTGGCCCCTTGTAGTCAGTTTTATATGAACGTGTTAACCAAGGAAAGTTTAGGAAAGGACCCTGTCTAGATTGGAATCGGGGGGTGGGGGAGGTAGGGAATTGGGGGATGGGGGAGGTGAGGGGGTAGGGGAGGTGTTAAAAACATATTTGGGATCTGTGTATACAGAAAGTCTTGTGGACACCACAAAACAAAACTTTAGAAGCAATAAGTGAATTCAGGTGGACTGTAACTCTAGTCTGTAAGATAAAATCGACTCCATTTTCTTTATATTAGCAGAGACCATTTGAAAATGAAACTAAGAAAACCATCCCACTCACGCTAGCATCGCGAAGGAAGCACAGTGAACATGTCTTGATGGTATCAGGGCAATATGCAAAGGCCGTTCAGAGACAATGGCAATTCAAGACTGAATTTGAGTCATCCTGAAAATTAGCCACAGCCTTAGGAGAGGTAAGAATTAAAGTCACGAGCTGAAATAATTAGTAATAAAAGTTGGGCAAGGTATTTAACAAAAGCAAACAAACAAACCCCCACAAAACAACAGAAAAAAAAAGCCCATTCTTTCTCACAGGGGCCTAAACATTGTTATTTGCAACCAAGAATGTACATTCTCTGGTTCGTTGGTAGGGTTTGATTAAACATTTGGGTCACTGACTCAAAATGACTCTGCTCCACAGGAAGCACTCAGATCATGAAAAAGGTCCCTTTGGGTTTTTGTTTTTTTCTTTTTTCCAGAGACGCTGGGCGGCTTTTATGCCAAAACTCCGTGGCCTGGCTGTCTGAGTGGCCTGTGGTGAATTGGCTAGGGACTTGTGGTTCGTGGGTGTGTAAATTTGTCTGCAGTTTGGGGGTCGGAAACACCAGCGATGGAAATGTCTGAATTTCTTACCTAGAATTTCTTCTCCTAGATATTTAATCCAAGTAAACAAGTTGTAAGTGTGTAGCAGGTAAGGCAGAGAGCTGTCCCCAAGTAAACAAGTTGTAAGTGTGTAGCAGGTAAGGCAGAGAGCTGTCCCCACTGCTAGAACAGGCTCGCAGGACTCTGCACTGTCTGAATGTCTGCTGAATTTCCGTGCTCTTAGCGCTGAAAAGAGAAGTGTGTGCTAGAGTTGATTTCAAAGAACTGTCTGTGTGAGCTTGGGGACCGGAGGGTGGTGGGAGGGAAGGTGCCTCTCGGATGTCATCGGCTTTTCTCCGGGTGGCAGAATTCCCAGAGTATGTATTTTCCTGTACCGCCACCCCCATTCTCTTTCTGTCCTGTCTTGTCTGTCTGTCTCTCCATCCGTCCATCCCTCCCTCCTTCCTTCCATTTTCTATTGGAATTGACACTAAGGCCTAGCAAATGTGGTCTGCCACAGACCTCCTCCTCAGCTCTGTTTTGATTTTTAATTTTGGGATAGGCTCACTCTTACGTTGCCCGGGCAGACCATGGACGTGCCATTTTCAGGATTCAGCCCCTACCTCCTCCTCCCCACCTCAGCCTCCCTCACCTCAGCCTCCCTCACCTCAGCCTCCCTCACCTCCTCCTCCCCACCTCAGCCTCCCTCACCTCAGCATCTCAAGCAGTTGAGGCTCCAAGCCTATGCCATCAGGGAATTAAAGTCAATACTATATAACGTGTGGAAAGAAAGGATACAATATTTGTGTTGTCCCATCTGGAAAGGAGGTGAGAAACTTGCCTCCGTGCTTGTAGTGCTTCTCCAAGAGCTCATCCTTCATGTCCTGTGTGCACAGCAAACAACACGAACTGCTGAGCTAACACACGGGGCTAGCAGCATCAACTCCTGTCTGCTAACTAACGCGCGGAGCACTGTAGTGCAAACCGTTTCTTCACTTAAAGCACTTAGCCCTGCTTCAACCACGCAGGACGGCCCGCAGCAGCAGTCACAGGTCACCCTGAGCGCCTGCAGAGTAACTTAATAAACTCCTTCTCATCACTTACCCATTTGAAAGTTTTATTATTTTTATTTTATTAAAAAGAAACAAAGGAAACAAAAAATCAATCGTATCGCAATGATAGCATTCACATCCTTACTGTAGCGGTTTTACATATATGTGGAAGTACTCAGCTGGACAACGAAAGGGTAAGTATTATGATGTAAATCTGTCCTACTTTGCTGCAGAATTATCTTTTTTGTGCACTGTGAGGAGGTGTCTTTGCCAAGGTGTCTTCTGATTGCTTTAATAAAGAGCTGAATGGCCAATAGCTAGGCAGGAAGAGGTTAGGCAGGACTTGTGGGGACAGAGAGCTCTGGGAAGAAAAAGGTAATGTGACAAGCTGGACAGAGAGAGAGAGAGAGAGAGAGAGAGAGAGAGAGAGAGAGAGAGAGAGAGAGAGAGAGAGAGAGAGAGAGAGGAGAGAGAGAGAGACAGGGGGAGAGAGATAAAAGAGTTACATAGATGGATACAGATGGGTTAATTTATGTTACAAGAGCTGGTGGAACAAGCCTAAGCTATAGGCTGAGCTTTCAAAACTAATAATGTCTCCATGTCACCATTTTTTGTGAGCTGGTGACCCAAAGAAAAATCTGTCTACACTATGTTTTTCTTTAGGGCCCCGTAAACTCTAGGCAAGCACTTTTTACCAAGCTGCATCCCCAGCAACAAGCCAGTGAAGAGACAGTGAAGACATAGGAAGATAACTCCAAGTTCAACCACTTTTATAAGGAAGTTCATTGTGAAAAAGAAGTTGTATCTGATAGTATTTATGGTAAACTGAGGATTTGGTTTAATTCTAAGCATTCCTGATCTTGACTTGTACTAAAACAGATCAAGAATTCCTAAGGTGAAATGATCTAAGCTTTTGGATAAGCACTGTAATTACTTTGAAAACCTATTGCTACATCTGGAAATGGCAGACTTTTTTTTTTCACTTTTGAAGCTATGAAATGTGGAATACTTCCAGAAAAGTGCTTCAGGACATCATTTCAGCAGTAGGTAATTATGAAATAAACACCGTGTCATTACCATATAAACTGATAAATGGAGGGAGAGATTCCAGGAGTCCCGTCCCAGTGTGGCAAGCCAGTATCAGCACTCGGCCGAGATGCATCTGACAACGTGATTTTATGCTCATTTCCGTGTGTTCTTCATTTAGCTTTCCCCACTTTTAATGCTCCATGTATAGGCTGTGGTGGTTTGAATATAAATGACCCCCATAGGCCCACAGGGAGAGGCACTATTAGGAGGTGTGGCCTCCTGGGGTAGCTGTGGCCTTATTGGAGGAAGTGTGTCACAGGGGTGAGCTTTGAGGTCCCAGATGCCACCAATGTGACAGTCTCTTCCTGCTGCCTTAAGATCTGGATGCAGAACTCTGTTACTTCTCCAGAAGCATGTCTGCTTACACGACAGTCACCACGCTTCCCACCACAATGACAATGGACTAAATCTCTGAACCTGTAAACCAGCCCCAATTAAATGCCTTCATTTGTAAGAGTTTTGTGGTCATGGTGTCTCTTCACAGCAATAGAAACCTGTGGGAGACACATGGGATTGCCTGTTGTAATTGCAATGTCTTCCTTCTTCCCAGTGAAGGATCCTTCTCGTTGAGTAGGTGTCATGCAGTGACTTTCCTTTGTTCATGGTTTTCTATTTCTATTTGTCACTACTCATTGGGGGTGAGAGAACCTGGATTCCTCCTTGTTTTGACCACTAGAGGCACTAATAACTAGAACGTTTTTTGTGCTTGCATGTGGGTATTAAGTTCCCGTAGGGTACGGTGCCACTGAGATGACTTTATAGCTCTGTGTCACATCACATGTCACAGCAAGTGCTGGTCCTCTACTGTTTGGTCCTCTCCCCAAAGCGCAGCACTATCAGAGTTTATATTGTCGACAGTATGGTTAGCATGGAATGAATTTTCATTTCTCAGGTGATTAAGGATGTTGAGCAGGCTTTCAAATGATTTTAGTCATCTGCATTTTCTCATGTGAGAAGTTTCTGTTCGAGTTTTGGGAAAGGGCTCACTTTTGTGTAATATTCACTTTTTTGTTTTGTCTCTTTTTTGTTTGTTTGTTTTTGTTTTTGTTTTTAGAGGCAGGGTTTCCCGGTGTAACTTTGGAGCCTGTTCTGGAACTAGCTCTTGTAGACCAGGCTGGTCTTGAATTCAGAGAGATCTGACTGCCTCTGCCTTCTGATGTTGGGATTAAAGGTGTGCACTGCCACACCTGGAAAAATTAACTCTTTCAACTTGATTTATAAAAATTCTTCATAAATTTAGGATATAAGACCTTTTTATGTCATATGTAATTTAAATGATTCTTCATTTTTGGCTTGTTTTTCAGAATTTTAACTTTAATTAATCAAGTCCTTACAAATACTGCTTTCAGGTGTAACTCTCTTCTATGATGCTAAAGATACTTTGTGACTCACAAATAGACTGAGTTATAAAATCAAAAGACATGAAGTAGGTAAGGGTTGGAGGAGGATGAGAATTGGATCTGGGGAGAGTTAGGAGGAAGAACTGAGATGAGTATGATAAAAATACACCACATACATGTACAAAATATAATCAAAATACACTACATGCATGCATGAAATATGATCAAAATACATTGCATGCATGTGAAATATGATCAAAATACACCACATGCATGTATGAAATAGGACCAAAGGACACTGCATGTGTATATGAAATCCCCCAATATTATGCATTTGAAAATGAAAAGAAACTGAGTGGTGGTGGTAGCACACACCTTTAATCCCAGCACTCGGGAGGCAGAGGCAGGCAGATCTGTGGGAGTTTGAGGCCAGCCTGGTCTACAGAGTGAGTTCTAGGACAGCCAGAGCTGTTAAACAGAGAAACTCTGTCTTGGAAAACAAAACAAGATAAGACAAAACAAAACAAAAAAATAAAAAAAGAAAGAAAAGAAAATATAGTTCTGTATGTTGCATTATTTACGTATTTACTCTCCTTAAAACTGGTTTCTACATAAGGTATGAGAAAGTCTTTCCAATTACATTAATAAAACATATGGCTGCCCAGTCCAAGCTGACCCAGAACTACACATTAGAAAGACTTTCTTTCTTCACTACTCTGTGGTAGCACTGCTGTCATCAGGTATGAATGCACGCTTGCTGGAATCTAATTACAGACTGTTGTGTGGCTCTGTCAACTCCTCTCCAGCGTCCCCCTTGCTTAGTCACTATGCTCTGTAGAGGGCTACATATCTCTTTGGTTCTCCTCCAGAGTATCTTGGTAATTCTAGGTTCTTTATACTTCTACATACATTTTACAGTCTGTGCATTTTCAAGATTTAGAACTCAGTGGAGACTGCATTGGGTCACCTGAGGGAAGAATGTCCCTTTAAAGTCCTTCCTTTTCAACTACAGGAGTGTTTGAGGTGCACCGCAAACACGGAACCCCTCAAATGCTAATACAGCTCCGAGGACGTGGCTAGGACTCCGGTGATTTTCCTTCCCTCCTTTTAGCTTTCTAAGAGTTCCAGAAGGTCTTTAACGTGCAACTGTCACATTTTAAGGCCAAAAGGCTTTAACTAAGAACATTAATAAGACACAAAGCATAGAACCAGTTGCAATGCCAAGTCTGCATAATTACTTCTGAGAGATAGCAATGGGTCATACAGTGAAGCTCCATGAGAACTGCTATATGTCTTAGGCAAAATTGACTTAAAATATAAAAAGAAACCTGTAAAAGAATGACCTTTCCACATGCTTTCCTGGAATCACAGCAAATGATGGAGACATTGGTAATCTCAATCTCAGTTTCATCGGTGTCTTCCTCTATCTTTTTCTCTGGTATATCTGCAGAGAGCTGGTAAGAAATTGTCCTCAGGTGCTTTGGGTCTAGTGGGAGAAAAATCACAGGAAAGTATGTGTGCTTTGCAAAAAAAAAAAAAGCGAGCAAACAAACAAAACAACCCAAACAAATAAACAAAAAAACCCCAAAACTTTAAATAATAAAATAAAATTCAAACCCTGTTGCAAATGCATTGATTTGTCACACTTTTTTTTAAAAATGGAGGAAAAATAAGGGCCTCTATTAAGTTAAAATTAGGGAGGAGGTTCTTTGATTTAACAGTGATCAAAATTTTCTATTAAATAAAAAGTGAAAATTCCACTGAGTTTTCATTAAGTGGAATTTCTAGGCTTTTCCTTCTTTCCTTCCTTCCTTCCTTCCTTCCTTCCTTCCTTCCTTCCTTCCTTCCTTCCTTCCTTCGAAGCTTCCTTCTTCCCCCTCTATCCCTCATTCTTTACTTTATCTTTTTTCTTTCCTTTTGTTTGTTTGTTTTTTTTTTCTTTTTGAGACAGGGTTTGAACTACATAGCCCTGACTGCCTGTAACTCACTATGTATGTAGACCAATCTGGTCTCAAACTCCCAGAGATCCACCTGGCTGGAGTTCTGGGATTAAAGGTGAAATTCAGTTAAGAAACACTGAATTTCAAGAAACCCTCTATAATATTCGATATTTCGTTACAGAAATGCAAACTGGACTGACTACCTTCAGTACCTTTTCAATAACAGAAGGGACCTGACGCTGACTGAGAAAATTACACTGTTTCTTCTAAATTAGATGGCCTGTGAAGAGCCCATTGAACGTATAAAGCTACGGTTTCTTATGCTAAATTCAATTAAACTTCTCCAGTTCTGCACCCACACTGACCAACCCTGCTGAGTATAAGAAGAAAGTATTCCGATGTCTTTGACAGTTTGCCCCACATCCAGGCTTGAAAAAAGAATGCAGCGTGTGCTTCCTAACACAAGAGACACAAACTTGGTATCGCTCAGCCTCTGCCCAAGCAGTGCTCTGGGGCTGAGACTAGCTAATTCCAACCAACAATGATGAGACAAAGAGCTCTAAAGCCAGAGAACCTAAGCCCCAGATTTCTCGACCCGTTTCGCCAGATACATGCTTTGTGATACTTACAGATGAACACTTTCGGGGTTATTTTAACATATGCCAGTTTTACGCCGTGGCCCAACATCTGAGCTGTCTAATGCCTACAGCATCCAAGTCAACAGTAGCCTTACCTTCCTCAGGCACTGGGATGCTCTGTTCATTTGGTACTATTGCAAAATGTCTGGCCATTTGACGCTCTTGTTTCCTACAAAAATCAAAACCAACAAGCATAAATCTGTATTATGCTAGAAAGTGGTACTAGTGCGCTACAAATTTCAACTGCTCAAGTACCATCCTTTGTTATTTTTAATCTGCTATCACTTATGAACCCAGTTTATGGGATTGAGCACGTGTGTGGGCTCTAATATCATCATCATCATCATCACTAATACTATTACTATTATTATTTAGGATCTGTGTATGTGGTGCTAGGGATTCGATTCAGGGCCTTGGTACACAAGGGAAGCATTCTACTGCTGAGGTTCTTCCTGGAACTTCTGAATCTCATGAAATTCACCAGGGATTATAATGAGCTTGCTTTAGCTCTTTTTTTTTTTTAAATAAGAAACACATCCTCCTGCAGGGTGGTGGTGGCACACACCTTTAACCCCAGCCATCAGGAGGCAGAATCAGGCAGATCTCTGTGAGTTTGAGGCTAGCCTGGTCTACAAAGCTACACTGAGAAACCCTTTCTTGAAAAATCAAAGAAGAAGAAGAAGAAAGAGGATGAGGTTGAGGAGGAGGAGGAGGAGGAGAAGAAGAAGAGGAAGAAGAGAAGAAAAAGAAGAGGAAGAGGTAGAAGAGAAGAGAAGAAGAAGGAGAAGGAGAAGGAGAAGAAGAAGAAGAAGGAGGAGGAGGAGGAGGAGGAGGAGGAGGAGGAGAAGAAGGAGAAGAAGGAGAAGAAGAAGAAGAAGAAGAAGAAGAAGAAGAAGAAGAAGAAGAAGAAGAAGAAGAAGAAGAAGAAGAAGAAGAAGAAACGCATGCTCATAATTACATATTTTGGGAAGTTCACTTTATGAGATACTCTTTGGTTAGCAATGTCCCGTCTTGACTCAGCACCATGGCCCTGCATTACCTCTGCATGGCTTTTTCCTTTGCCTTGAGTCTATCGACGTCACTGCCGTGGGCTGCATGAGGATCGATGCTGATTAAGTCCGTTTTAGTGCGTCTGATGTGTAGCCTTTCCTCATTGATATAATCAAGAAGATTTTGTAACTGAATACAACAACAGGCCTGAAAGACAAAGAGGCTATGATTTTGTCGAAGAAGACCAGAGGGGTAAAAAATCCCCCAAACCAATGAGGTATGGATAACAAGAGGCCGTAACTCTTTTCTCTTAGTAGCCTTGGCAAGATAAAGTTTACACACCTTGACACAATTCATCTGCTTAAAAGAGCTACTTCTTCTGGTGTTTAGTATTTTCAGAGCAACCATTGCCAGTCATTTCAGATAAAAACTGTTCCCATGAAGTCATCTCCCCTCCTCACACCTCTAATCGCTAATCTGTTTCTTTTGTTTTTGAGACAGCAACTCGTGTATCCCAGTCTACTTTCTATGTAGCCAAGGATGACCTTGAGCTTGTAGTCGACCTGTCTCCACCTCCCAAGCACTGGGAATATTGTATGCGCCACTATGTGAAGAACCAGATTGCCTCCATCTTACCCCTGAAAGCCATCTCAGAAAAAGACAAACTAGCTTCATTCCTATGTATGATTCTCTGTTTCTCAAGGAGTGGGCTATGCCCCACCAGTAACCTTAACTACAAATGATTCTGTACTGCCTGAACCAGGAATGGCAATCATGTCATTGTTTCAGAAATCCAATAACCATCTTGCAACCCTGTGATGATATTTTGTTTATGCTATCATGAATAAAGCCTGCCTGAGGATCAGAGTGCAAAACTAGCCACACTAGTTAGCCATAGAGGCCAGGCAGTGGTGGTGCACACCTTTAATCCCAGCGAGGCAGATGGATGTCTGTTAGTTCAAGGCCACCCTGGGCTACACGAAACTGACCCAGTCTAAAAGAGAAACAGCTCACATAAAGGTGATCCCAGCACTTTGAGGGACATGCCTTTAATCCCAGCACTAAGGAGGTGGAGACGGAGAGGGGCAGAGAGATGAATACAAGGCTGGAGGAGACAGGAGGCAGGGCATCTGAGCAGCAGTTAGTCCGAAGCAGTCTGAGGGTCCAGTCTCAGGAGGCAGTCTAAGGACAGGAAAGCCCCTTCCGTCTGAGACAGAGGTAAGAGCTAGTGTAGCTGGCTGCTTTGCATCTCTGATCATTCATCTTTAAAAGGGTTGTTATGACTACCATCTTCTGACTTCCTGTTGTTACGGCCCCTTTGCAGTCATGTCTTGGTTTCAGGAGGTCGTTATGACTCAGTTGTTATGTTTATGTTCTGCTCCTGTAACCCCACCTATTTTGCCATCAGATCCCCCATTTGGGAACCCTTACCCCCTGAGCTATTAAAACCTTGTCCTCCTCACAATCCAGGGTGGACTTCTTGAAGCCCACCTAAGGTGGAGTCAGCTCATGTACACAAATAAAAAAAGCTTGCTTGGATTAATTTGGCCAGGGTGATTTGGGACAGTGGTCTTTCTCCTCCCATCTTTTGGATTAGCACATGCCCCCTTATTTGGTAGCCGGCATAAAACCCAGGGCTTTGGGCATACTAGGAAGCACTGCCAGCTACGCCCCAGCCCAGCCCGGCCCAGCCCAGCCCTTAACTACATTTGCCTGTTTTTCACACTTGATGTCCCTGGAACCACGCAGCACATGCTGCTTTGTGACTGGCCTCCTCACTTAGCGTAGTGTTTTCAGGCCTCCTTGGTCTTGTAGTATGCTTCAAGAGTTCTATTTGTCTGGCTGAATAATAACTGATTGCACTGAAACATGTTTCCATTTCTGTGTATTAAGTGTCATGAGTGTTTGTTTACAAATTTTGTATAGATACATGTTGCCCATTTTCTTGAGTATAAATCCAGGAAGAAAAATTGCTTGTAACTATGTGGGTTAGTGCAAAAGGGATTGTAAGTTTTGAACCACAACTTTTAAATTATGTAACTGGACTCAAACACATCTTTAGTAATCAAAATAGGAATTATTTCAATCAACACATTTTTTTCCCCAACGAGAAGTAAGTTGGTTTAACCCTGTGGCATAAAGACCCATGCTCAGCAAACTCTTAGAAAGCATGCTCTGCATTACGTTGGTTGTGGAAGTGTTTTCCCTGCAGGAAGTTGTCAGCGTACTTAAAGAAGTAGTCGGCTGGCAAGAGGCGAGGTGAATATGGTGAATGGGGCAAAATCTCCTAGCCCAGTTCGTTCAACTTCTGAAGCATTGCTTATCCCATGAGCATCGAGGCGCTCTCACCGAGAAGAGTCACATGCTTTCTGTTGACCAGTGCTGCCAGCTCATGATCTATTTTTTGGTACATCTCACTGACTTTCTGGGTGCGCTTCAGATGAATCTGAGCTACAGGGTAAGCGCTAGGCTGCTGTATTCCACGCGGCTCCTGCTTGGCTGGCTGACCCACGTGGGCACCTCCTTTTTTTTTTTTTTCTCCTTCCTGGTTTTCTCTTGCCTTGCAGCTGGCCTGACCACCCGGACAATATTCTGCTTTGATGCCCTCCCTCTTTCTCCCTCCACATGGCTTGAAATCTATATAATTTGGAACAAAGTCTGTTTCCTGCAGAAAGTTTTGTCATGTATGTATGTATGTATGTATGTATGTATGTATGTATGTATGTGTATATGTATGTGTGCCTATAAGGCTTCTTGTGGATTTGGAGCCACACAAAATTGTGTCAGGCTCAGTTAAATGTATCCATGTATGTGGTTACTGCGGGTTTGTTTCTCACTGGTTTTGGATGTGTGAGTTCACTATATTCAATGTGTGTTGGCGAAAGTTCAACTGTTACTACTGCAACTAGCTACCTAGGCTCAGAATTTGTCTCTCTCAGCTTTCTGGCCACTGAATCTGATGGAATAACAGAGATTCATAGGTCATTTAGTTATACATAATATTGAAGTTGTTTTATGCTGTTCTACTTTATTAAAAAATAGCTAAGGGTATCCCAACTTTTATGGTTAAAAATCTGTAACAAAAAGCTAACTTAAAACTTGTAGCTCCAATTTGGAGCTGTTCTGGGAAACAGCACGTGATTTGCCACCATCTTAAGTGCAGTTACAGGGTTTGAGAAGGGTTTTGGCTAGGGTTTGAGGAGAAGGATGTCATGTGATTTCACCACCATCTTGATTAAATGTGACCACCTACCAAGGAGTCAACAGGGTTTTGAAGACGTTTTGGATTAGGACTGATATTTCTATGCTAATTCCTATCCTGTCCCGAAAGCAGGTTTTATGAAAGATAGGATATTAAACAATGCTGGTTCAAATAAAGCTGGGCCACCAAAATTCCACATACTGGGATGTACCCTTTCGGCACTCAGATTGTGCAACGTAATCCATACATCCACATACTGGGATGTACCCTTTCGGCACTCAGATTGTGCAACGTAATCCATACATCCACATACTGGGATGTACCCTTTCGGCACTCAGATTGTGCAACGTAATCCATACATCCACATACTGGGATGTACCCTTTCGGCACTCAGATTGTGCAACGTAATCCATACATCCACATACTGGGATGTACCCTTTCGGCACTCAGATTGTGCAACGTAATCCGCTTGATATTTATTTTAGAGATGCTGAATTGTTTACACTGTTGAAACTTGGTTTTGCCTTCTACAAATTATGGTAGTGTTCTGTGTCTTCATTCTTGAAATAAAATGTACCTTAGCTGAGTATTACCAGGTCACACAGTTGAAAGATCTTAAACTTCCTTAAAAGAAAATTGTAGAGTTTTACGGAAAGGTTAAGTAAACCTGAGATTTTTAGGTAACGGTTTTAAAATGCTTAAATTTATAAGGCTATGGAGCATTTTAACATTTATAAGACATTTTACCATAATGCCTTTGTTAATGTCTGACCTTAATAAATAGATAAGTAAAAAGCTAAAGCTTTGGGCCACAGCTAGACACCAGAGTCAAAGCTATTCCTATCTTATGATGCAGCAGGACAGTGACCTATGAAGTCTGGCAAAGGGTCTTTCCTTACTTAAGCTCCATTCAGACTAACAGAGACGGTTTAGGAATGTATGTCTAACTTCCTTGCTTTTACTAACATTGTTAAGCTGTAGCTAGTTTGGTAAACCAAGTCATACAGAAAACTGTTGTGTTTTGTAATGGTGTACTAAAAAGGATTGGGAAAGTTCCCAGTCTCTTTGTGGACCGTGCTTATGAGTTAAAAGTTTTATCTTGATATTAAAAGAGCTTCAGTTCAGAAATTGTTATTTTTCAGACTAAACCTAATAGGGATGAAGTTATAAAATCCTGTTCTTATAAGACTTGCAAGTTAAATTCTGTCACCTCATAAAGGATCAGCTTTTTTGATATGTTCAGATTGAGCTTGTATTTATGTTCTCAAAGCTCAGCCTAAAACAAGTAACTAGAAACAAGCAACGTCTGCCTAGCTTAGACCTGCTTCACAGATCATGGTCCTCGAATGCTTCAGAGATCGGAGAACACAGCATTCAAAATGTTTACCAAAGAAGCTTTTTGTGATAGGCATGCCAGCTCCTGGTCACACCCCTATCTCCTGGAAGGGTGAAAATGCATGGGCGCTTGAGTCCTCACCTGAGCTTGCTTTAAAGTGGCAAACCCAGCCGCAGGGTGGAAAAAGCTGCCTTTCACCTCAGCTGCTGTCAAGGCCCTGTCCAGACCGTGGACAAGCAGGACACTGGGGAGCTGATCGCCCTGCTTGGCCAGGTAGGCTGCTGCCCCCAAGTTCCTACTGCACAGCAAAGTCTGTCAGATCTTCTGGGCCTGGCAGCTGCAGACTGGTGGTGAGGCCTGGGGCCTCTGTCCCCAGTGACCGTGGAGGAACCTGGGGGTAACTGTCTAGGTAGCCACTGAGTCCCTGTCATTTTGAATAGATTTGGGAGCTGCTTGGTCTGCACTTCTGCTGACTCAGGCAAAATTTACCATTCTCAGTTTTGACGGTGTTTGATGAACAGGCTAGTGATAGTTTTAGCAATTTAGCAGCCCCCTTCCCCCCAAAGGCTATACCCCCTTGGTAGTTCATTGGTTTAGTTTCTTGTCAAAAAACACAGACACATTTGCCCTGTTCACGGGTTTCATAGTAAAGGATAACAGGGTTCAGCTGTAACTTCTCACTAAAGGAGCACAGAAAACGATTTAATATGTACAAACGCAAGCTGTACTGTTGTAAGTAAATGGCGTAAGGCATGTAAAGATGTTTTGAACGTCCATCCCTTTCCTTATGCTGAAGCTCCCCTGGGATTTCAGAGGTTCAGGGTTTCAGCACTGATAAACGAAGTTCTCAAAAAACGGACAGGTCCCTGGCTACTTACTATTCAGTCACGAGCTCAAGATTTTAAATTTCCTCTGGTGTGTTTCATCGGGCTAAAGCCAGGCTCTCTAGACAAAGCAAAGAAGTTCATATCTTTCAAGCCAGTGCCATGGTCTTTGCTATGACACGAGGGAGTAAGTCTGTTCTCGGTGTTTTATAGACACTTGTTTGTTTCCAGGGGAAAGAGTGCTGCTACTGTATCAGAAAGCGGGGCTGGCTTGCTTAAAACTGTTGTGGAGTCATCCCACACACTGTCTGAAGGGCTCTGCCAACGCCTCCCGGGCTCAGCTCTGTCCCGTTCTCCCCGGCAATCTCCACCCTTCCCGTGGGTGCCCCGGCTCATAGGGCCAGTGCTATAATAATCTATTCTTTTTCTCTTAGCAACTTGTCTTCTCCGCGTCTTCCAGGAATGGATTTGTGAGGTCCCCAGGGTGGCAGTCAACCAAATGCTTCTTCGCCCATCACATACCTCCTGCTGCGCCTGAGCCCACCAACTCCCAACTGCCCCTCCTCCTCACGTTGTCCCACGCCAACAGGAAGTAGCCAGATTTGAACCAGTGCCCATATAATCAAAAGTGTTGGAATATTCAGCTGGAACCTCCAGCTTGCCCCTGCATGACCCAGAAAGCCCCATTATCCACCCCCTCCTCCCCAAACCCTGCCCTCTCAGAGATTCTCCAATAAAAAGAAGGCGCCCCAAAGCCGGTTCCACTGTTGCAAATTCTTCCCCTGCCACTGCCCGCAGCCCAAGTCCCTGCCTAGGCCTTTCCAGCTTTTGACCACACTTGGGCACAAACCCAGCTTGTGGTGGACACGACATCACCCCTTGCCTACAGGCTATAGAATCTCCCGGTTTTAGTTCGGGGTGGGGGTTGGGGGGGTGCATCTTCTCTGCCCTCAGTCTCTGGGACTAGAGAACCTGCCTAGGAGTTGCTTTGCTCAAAGACACCTGTCATCACACTTTTTCAACTCAGTTTGACCTGGCTTACTGCGTGGGTGGACTATTACTGGGGGACACAAAAAACCTATTACTCATCTCTGTTGTGACACCTCTTGAATGACCACAGAACTGAAAGTTTGTTAGCGGTTCCTCCCCTCCCTCCCTCCCTCCCTCCCTCCCTCCCTCCCTCCCTCCCTCCCTCCCTCCCTCCCTCCCTCCCTCCCTTCCTCCCGCCCTCTATGGCCTTATGTTGACCAAACCGGCCTCAAACCTTCAACCTTCGTATCCCACCTCCCGAGTTCTGGGACAGCATGTCTACCCCACGACACCAGGCTAGCCATAATGTCCGCTTCCTGGAAGCTTTGTCAACACATTATTACCAGTCTTTTAAATCAGAGCTGTCCTAGTGAATGTGATGGTTGTGGCTGACATTGTCTTGGTGGCTAACACACAACCCGCTCAGAGTTACCTAAGGGGAAGAAGCAGGGGGGGGGGGGATGCCACAAATGTTAAAAAGCAACACAAGCTCCTCTGCCAAACCTGATTTCAAACTAACTTACGCCCTTTTTGTGTTCGGGGTGAGCGCTGTCAGAGCCAATGTCCACTTCAGAAAGGAAAGGTTGCAGATCACTCCCACAAAATTCACACTTGAGGGTTAGCTCTTCTTCCTCCTTCTAAGAAGAGGGGTAGAGAAGGAGAAAGACCTTGACGTGGCTGGGTAGACAGGCCAGCTGCTACCGCTCCTGAGCTAATGTTAACACATCTAATGTTGATGCTACCTGTTCGGTCTGCCTCCGGAGCCAGAGGATCCAAACCTTGTCCAGGTCAGGGCATCTCCCTGGAGAAGAGGCCACAAGGCCTCTCTCTCTTACGGTCAAGCCCATCTCTGCAAGTCAGAGGGAGACTGTAACCCCACTACCTCAAGAGACTTCTCTGGGTATAAGCCCCCTTGCGGCTCAGAGGAAGGAAAGTGCTCTGTTCAGGTGAAAAAAAAAAACAAACTCGGCTCCGAAGAGTCTATAGAGTGACCACCAAGTTTCCAAACCTGGATAAACAGCTCGGCAAACAGCCGTTGGTAAAATGTTGCACGGTGTCTAATGAAGTGTCCTTTGTTACTGACGCCCAGTTCACTGCTGTACACAATGACAGCGAGCTGCACATCGGGACACTCACACGGGTCGCATCAGTCAGTCCTGCTCATGCGCTGTGATACCGGTGGCACAAAACTCCACCAGTGTATCCCAGAAGGCGCTGTCGTTGGGATTCGGACCCGGGAGTCATACACTAGCTAGTTTGGGGGAATGATCATTCTACCCCATTCCTTCAACACTTCCGTGTGCAAGGTGCGCCCTGGCTCGTTGGAATTACTAATGAAACCTTTAGTTTTGCAAACACAGGCATTAGCTGGACCTTTTATGTCATTAAATATGGCAAAGGTTCACTCTGTGATCACTGTTAGCTGAATTGTGTCTTCCTACAAGATGTGTTGAACGTCTAACTTCTGGTACCTGGGAATGTGGCTGTCTTTGGGCTTTATGAAGGTCATGAGTTAAGATGAGGTTGTTGGAACGGGCCTTAATCTAGTATTACTGGTGTTGTCAGTAGAGAAGGACTTTTGGACCTAGGGACCTAACAAGAAGCCAGCGAAGCTGAGACAGAGACTGGCAGGGAGGAACTACCAGTCAATCACGGCCTCACACTGCCCTCCGGTTCTTAAAGCAGAGAAAAGTGAAGAATCTCACTACAGCGATGGCCCTTTGGTACCTGGATTCAGACTTCTAGCCTCTGGAACCACAGGGCAGGGGTTCTTTTGTTTTACAGAACTCAGCTATTAAGACTTAGGAAACCAAGCCAAGTGCTTTTCCAAGTAAAGGAACCCTTTGCTTTGATTCTTTTAAGGTATATTCACATCTATTGTACAAATACTGTGTGGCCCCACATAGCCCTTTACAGAAATAATAAAACATACGAACTGAAGTCACCTTTTGGCTGACGTGCGGATAAAAAAGATCTTTTCTATATGACAGAATGGTCGGTGGACCGATGCTGGATAACGTTCTTAGAGGAGATTCAAAAAATTTTACAAATTCTTCGTTAAACTAAATGTTAAGAAGAGAGAGAATTAAAGATGGAATAAATGACTTTGCAACAAGAACGATGCATTAGTGATTATGATGAGCAGTGCTCACCTCCATCTCACATAAAATACTCAGTTTGGGCTCTTCAGGGTTGATCACCCACTTTCCTGAAGAGAAAGGACAGATTTAGATGGGGAATTGTAACCTTGTTGCCGTGTGTTCTGTTCCCCTCCAGCTTAGAGATTTTCCTCCGTCCTGACCTCATAATCCACACTGAAACACAAGTAGGTATGTGTGTGCACGCATGTACGCGCACACACATGCACGCACACACCACACACACATGCACGCACACACACATGCACACACCACACACACATGCACGCACACACACATGCACACACCACACACACATGCACGCACACACACACACACATGCACGCACACACACATGCACACACACATGCACGCACACACACACATGCACACACACACACAGCCCAAGCCCTTCATTTACACTGCCTACCTGTATACGTTCTCAGCACAGGACCAGTCAGGTTGGTCCCTTCCTTACTGACAATTTGTCTTTTCCAGCAAAAGGGGATGAAAACAAACACCCATTTACCTCTTAACTTAGAAGCCGGAGTTTCTGGTAGTGCCTCCTTTGTTTCAAAGGATAGTTGTTTTTCTAAAACCAAAACAAAAAGTATGTATGTATTCATCATTAATCTTGAAAAAAGGCGAAACAAGTTAAATAGAAAATATATCATAGAAAAATAAGTGCCAGTTTCATTTCCGAATGCCCGTAATCCCCCTCCCCCTTCCTAAATAGTGACTGAACAGAGACGCATGGGGTCAGCTCTTTCAGAAGACAACGATTACAACACACAACTTTCCTTCACACATCCATGCCGCTTTGTTGACATACTAGTTAGCTTTAACTACCAGCTAGACACAGCTTAGAGTCTCCTGAGAAAGGAGGGATTGCCTAGGTCAGATTCACCTGTGGGCACGTGCATTACCTTTTTTTTTATTGCTGGACTAAGACACCATGCTCAAGGCAACTTACAGAAGAAAGGATTTATTTATCACGGTTTCAGAAACAGTCCTTGACCATCACGGCAGGGAGCACAGGCACGGGCAGGTATATAGAACATTAGCTGCGAGTTTACACCCTTATCTGAAGGCAGGCAGCAGAGACACCCAACTGGGAATGGTAGGAGCTCTTGAAACCACCAAGCTGGTCTCCAGTGACACACCCCCTCCAACAAGGCCACACCCCCTAATCCTTTCCAAATAGCTCCTCCAACTGGGGGCCAAGGGTTTAAATATATGACCTATGGGGTGTTCTCATTCGAACCACCACAGCATGTCTGTGGAGGGATGTCTTGATTGTTAACGGGGGTGGAAGGGCCAGTCACTGTGGTGGCTCCAGGCTGTGAGGAGAAGGCTAAGTGTAAACCAGCAAGCAGCACTCCTCCATGCTGTCCCCTCTGAGGTGTTCTGCTTGAGTCCCTGAAACAATGAGCTGTGAAACCTATAAGCTGAGACAAACCTTCTCTCCACCTGATTTCTTCTAAAGATTTATATGGGTAAGTTAAATGTTTAATTTTTTTGTAGTGCTGGGGGTTGGACCCGCCACCTTTTGCATTCTAGATGGGTGCTCCTCCGTGGTCTCTCCACATCCCAAACCATAGCTTTGATATTATTTCCTGATGGTTCGAGAAGTTTTTAAAAGAGTGCATATGTCATTTCTATAACAAACACAAGGATATATATCAGAAATATAATGGAACTTTCTCTCTCTCTCTCTCTCTCAAGACAGGGTTTTACTGCATATCTTTGGCTGGCCTAGAACTCACTATGTAAACCAGGCTGTCCTTGAACTCACAAAGATCTGCTTGCTTATGCTTTCTGAGTATTGGGATTAAAGATAAGCACCACCGTACTTGTGTTAATGGTAGATTATTTCTTGATGAATAAAAGCATTGCCATTTATTAAATATTGTATACCAGTGACTTAAATATCTAATCTCATTTTGATGATCAGCACTCCTGTGTCACTACTAAGTTACTAAGAGATAAAGTGCCTAAGGCCTGGTGAGACTGACCAATCTTTCCAGTGTCTATTTACACTGCCTGGGTTCAGCATCCGCCCTTCCACGCTGGTTAAGTTTCCCAATCCACAATTCAATCCCCCAGCAAAGGCTCAGGAATCAAACGACTCACTTAGCTCCCTCAGAGCAAAAATTTGTTGAAGCCAACTTTCTTCTGTTTGTACTGATATCTGAACTGTCTGATCCAAGCTTGTGTACATATTTCTGAAATTTAAATCACAATGTTAGTTTGAGTATAATTATATGGTTGCTAGCAAACCTACTCTGTATAGTAGTATTTTTAGTCGAATAATATATGCCATTGAAAGTTCTGATGTTTTCCCTGGAATACTTTCTTCCATTCCTATATTTTCAGTAAAGTTAAACATGACGTGTCTTCCTTCCTGAAAGTCCTCAGCTATGAGGTCCATGAGGGGCAGTGAGGAGGACTGACCTTTTGGGTAGGAGTTTTATTAGGAGTTCTTTAAACCATAGATCGACAGGCACGGTTGGAGTTCTAACAAGAATTTAGGCCTAGGAGGTTAAGAGGTAAAGGGGAGGAGGCCTCATGACGTGTCCTTGATGCGGACAAGTTACAAGTTAGTGACAGTGCAGACTGGCTGCTGTCTCCGAGTCCCAACAACAGCAGAAAGTGGGAACGACAGGGACTTTCAGTGACTGCCCGTCCTCCAGGATGTGACCTGTGGCTCCTGAGCGGTTACAGTGCATGTTAACCGCTCTCTGAGGGATCGGGGGGGGAGGGGGTTGCAGACCCATAGACAGCCACAGAAGAGTTTCTTTCACAGCAACTGTGAGAGTAAGAAAGAGACAAGAGATGGCTGTAGGCGAGTGTAGCCTGAGCAGGACCAGCTCAAACCTGACACTTTCTAGATCCCAGACGTTTCTAAAGTCATCTTTTTCCTATAGGGATTTACCAGCATTGTATCTGAGCGTGTGTGGGATACATATTGTGTGTGCTAGCGATGAGCACATTTAGACATTTACATAAATTTAAATTCTCACTAAGCGCTTGCTTTATTTAGTTTAAAATGAATACAAGGCTGTGCTTGCTGGCCAGGCTAGGCACTGTGGTTCTCCAGCTTCAGTGAGAGTCTATGTGAGGAAAAAAACAAGTGGAAAGCAATAAACATACCTCTGGCCCTACATGCTCACACAGGCATGACTGCACCTGCGCACAAACATGCATACACATACTGCACACACATGTGTGCACACACAAATTATACAAAGGTTTTAGTTTGTTTTTCAAGACAGGGTTTCTCTGTATAGCCTGGCTGTCATGCAACTTGAGCTACAGACCAGGCTGGCCTTGAGCTACAGACCAGGCTGGCCTTGAGCTACAGACCAGGCTGGCCTTGAGCTACAGACCAGGCTGGCCTTGAGCTTAGAGATTGGGCTGCCTTTTTCCCCCTCCTGAATGCTAAGAAATTATGCAAGCCTTCTACAAAGTGCTGATTTTAAGACAAATGCACTGTAATTAAGCACCTCTACTCCTTCTCTGAGTAATTTGATCAGTTATTTGAGCAATCCCTGACATGATAGGGAAGTAGGTTATCTCTAGAGAGACAAGTAAACAGTGCTTTTCAATCTCCCTTGCTGCTCTGCATTTAATTAAGAGATTGTTATCTTCTAAAATGATCAAGCAGCATTTGTTTCAGTTAGTACATTGTTACTTTTCTACCACAGGGCAACTGTGTCTTCACCAGCATTTTTGACAGTTTCCCGGCACATTGCATCAGTGAAGTGCTTTTGTTTTTCAGTTCCGAAGTGACTATGTACTGGAATAGGCAAAGAATTCCTCTGTGGAAGCCACTTGGGTAAGTCTCCCAGGCAATCCTGTTTACCCAACCTTCCTGAGAGACAAGCTGCAGGGACTACCAGTAAAGCAACACCAGAGGAAAATCCCTAGACATTTCCCTCTCAGTGCAACAGCTAACAAAAATGAATACTTTTTTTTCCATTTAAGTGTCCTTGCCTTCCTTAATCATTTGTGAAGGTAATCAAAGCAGTATTCATTCCTACCCAGTATGCTCACCACAAAGTGAATTCTGCAACGTGAATTCTGTGGCCATCCTCATTGATCATCCACCTAAAAATTTCATAAATGGATGGCCACAGAATTCACGTTGCAGAAGGCAATTTTGATTACCTTCACGAAAGCTAATCAAAGTCTTAGTAATTCCTTTTCACTGGCAAGGAAATGGAGGCCCATAGAGATGAAAGGACATTCACAAAAGGAAGGATTTTTTTTTCTTGGTCCAAAACTTGCTTTGTCACTTTCATCTGTGTCTTAGTTATTATTTAATTGCTGTAAAGAGACATCATAACCAAGGCAACTCTTATAAAAGAAACCTTCTAACCGGGAATTTGCTCTTAGTTTTAGAGGGTTAGTCCATGGCCATCATGGTGGGAAGTAGATAGTTTAGTATGGGAGCTGTAGCTGATACCTTTACATCTTGATCTTCAGGGAGAGAGAGAGAGAGAGAGAGAGAGAGAGAGAGAGAGACAGACAGACAGACAGACAGACAGACAGACAGAGACAGACACACACAGAGAGACAGAGAGACAGAGACAGAGAGACAGAGAGACAGAGACAGTCAGAGAAGTGAGACAGAGAGGACAGGAGAGAATAGAGAGAGACACACACAGAGAAGAGACAGAGAGGAGAGAGACAGAGACAGAGACAAGAGATGGGGCCTGCCATGGACTTTTGAAATCTCAAAGCCCATCTCCATTGACACTCTTCCTTCAACAAGGCCACATCTACCCCAACAAGGCCACACCTCCTGGTCCTTTTGATCCTCCTCAAACAGTTCTACTCCTTGCTGACAAAGCATTCCAATATGTGAGCCTTTGGGGGTAGGGGGTGTGTTCCCACTCAGACTACCATAAACCGCCTTTCAGTGAGAATAGCAGTCAGGCAATTGAAAATAGAAGTTGAACTGATGTTGGCTGCATTTTTAGGGCATAAAAAAGCACCCATAATCTCACCAACTTCAGTAAAGAACACTTTGAAGTCTGTGTGTGTTAAAATTTTAAAACATCTTCTTAGAAAGATTTATGAGGCACACACATAATAGAAAGAAAACCAAGACTGCTGGCATTATGTTAACTATGTCTGGTGGGGCAGGGAAGAGATGGTGATTTTCACTTTTGTATGTTTGTACACTTTAATTTTTTTAAACCACACATGTCATTAGAAATTTGAGTTAAATGGACAAACCCTACAAGCATTCTGTCTCAAGTGTGTGTGTGTGTGTGTGTGTGTGTGTGTGTGTGTGTGTGTGGTGTTATGTGCAGGTGCCAGTTGAGACCAGAGGTTCTGGAGCCTGCTGGAGCTGGAGTTACAGGTAGTTGTGAAACGCCCCAAGTGGGTGATAAAACCCAACTCAGTACACTCCCTTAACTGGTGAGCCATCTTCCAGCCCTAGCACGGTCTGTACTTAATTAATTTGTGTCATGTTGATAAGCAGACACATCATACTCACAGTTGGGTAACTAGATGAAGACAGGGACTTCATCTTTATGTCTTACAGAATGCCTACCAGTGTGGGAGTTTTTGTTTGTTAAGTTTTTTTTGTTTGTTTGTTTTGTTTTATGCTGTGTAAGCCAGAGTGGGTTGCCTCAGACTCTGGAATGCTGGGATTGCAGCATGTACTAACACGCTTGGAAAAAAAAACAACATCAACGAAACTTTTTGAATAAGAAAGTTGTACGCGCTTTGTGTCATTTATAACAAGTCTAAAGGGGTAAACATTTATCTGTTTAAAAAATACAACAATCGAAAACTTCTTCTTACCTATCCACAGTCACTTCAGACAGGTCTTTCTTAAACGTTTGAAATATTTTAGGATAAGCTGTTGAATGAAACATTAAACTATTTAGCCACTCCACATTCTACGCCACTGGTTCTTTAAAGGAAATTTTGTTCCCAGGGAACATTTGGTGAGGGTTGGAGACAGTCCGGTTGTCACAGGGATGTGGTTATGATTTTTGTGTGTTCATGATCCCGCGTGTATTTATAAGTTCATTATCAGGGGTAGAGAAGGCCAGGGATGCTGGTAAACAAAATCTCCTAGAACGCACAAGGACATCAACCTTTCCCCAACAGCAAAGCCACACCCACGGTGAAAACGCGAACTGCGCGAGTTTGAGCAGCCTGTTCTAAATGCTCTGCTTTCCTTTTTAAATAAGGAAAGTCATCTAGAGGTGTCTGCGCGGAAGTTCAGCGCACAGGACAGAGTTGCGTGTTACTGCAGAATTAGTCAGTTAAGGAGGCCAGTCAGCACCTGGCAAGGCACTCCCGCGGGGTAGGGGTGCGGGGAGGGACCCCAGCTTCCACCTTTTACTAAGCAGTTCCCCTGTATCCTACGCCAGGAGCCACCTGCATGGTCAGCCAAGACTTGATGGCGTGTGTGTGTGTGTGTGTGTGTGTGTGTGTGTGCGTGTGTGTGCGTGTGTGAGCGCCCGCGCACAGTGGGCAGCAGAGGGAGGGGTACGCAGCTCTCCCTCCCCGCACCCCGGGAAGAGAAGCCCGACGCTACATCTTTGGGACGAGGCGCTGCTGGAAGCAGAGGTGCGCCCGCTGGGCTGCAGCTCCTCCTCCTCCTCCTCCTTCTCCTCCTCCTTCTCCTTCTCCTTCTCCTTCTCCTTCTCCTTCTCCTTCTCCTTCTCCTTCTCCTTCTCCTTCTCCTCCTTCTCCTCCTTCTCCTCCTTCTCCTCCTTCTCCTCCTTCTCCGGCTCCCCCTGCTCCTCCTCCTCGACCTCCTCGCTCCACGTGGGGCTGGAAGGCTGGCTGGGCGGGAGTGTGGTGCTCAGGCTGGGGGTGGCCACGCTAGTCAGGCGGGGACGAAACCCCCCCAGGTCTTCGGAAAAGCTAGCGTCCATGACCTTCCAGAGGTCTTCATCTTCCAGCAACTCCGGGAGCAGCTGGCTTGCCGCCTCCTCCTCGTCGTCGTCGTCGTCCTCCTCCTCCTCTTCCTCCTCCTCCACCTCCTCGTCCCCGAAGGAGGCCTCCTCCTGCTCCTTCGGGCTGCCCTTCCTGGGCTCTGGCGCGCTGCGACTCGGGTGCATGTCTGCCGGCCGGGCGGTCCCTGGAGCAAGCTCGCTGCTGTTGAGCGTCGGTCTCCCAGGGCAACCTCCGACCCTGGCGGGGATTTAAAGCCGCAGGACCCCCTTTAGCGCGGTGCGGGGTGGGGAGCCTTGGCAGGACTCCCCTTCCCCCAACCCCCCCCTCCCCGCAAGGTCGTTTCAGCTGCAGCCCCCCCCCAGCCTGCAAAGAAGCAGTCTGGCTTTCCTCCGAGCCAGCCCTTCCAGCTTTCTAAGAGGAAGTGTCTTCTGGAGATGGGCACCACTTGGCATTGAGGGATTGAGGGAGCTGTGAAGTCGGATTTTTACTAGAAAAAAAATGCCTATTGGAAATTCCAGTAAAACTCTGTTTACAATATCAGACATCAGCCTTTGGTCTGTAGTTTGCCGGCTTGACTTAAGAGGCTATTACTTTCTATTAGTTAGTGTTTTTGTTTGTTTTGGTTTTTTTGATATCCTGTGTATTTTGTGCCTGAGATATTTTGGGTCATTCTAGCCCTAGTTTGGGCTTGCTCCATCCTGTTGTCTTGAAAGCACCAAACACCTGAGATTCCGGCCACCATGGGTCACCTCTTGCCTTCTGGGGCTTCACTTTCAATTCATTGCTCTTTAGTTATTTTGTAAAATATGTGCACATACTCAGAAAAGTATCCAGGATAATATAGTGGTCATCTGGTTACCTGATTCATTAGATGCCCAGGGTCAGGCCTAGAAGTCACTGTGTACGATTTCTGGTGTGACACGGATCTCAGCCAGCCTATTTGCAGATGAAAACTGGAAACAATGATGCTTTTAAGATATTTGTGGATATAAGCCAGTCGGTGGTGGTGCATGCCTTTAAGCCTTTAATCCCAGCACTCGGGAGGCAGAGGCAGGTGGGTCTCTGTGAGTTCAAGGCCAGCCTGGTCTTCAGAGCGAGTGCCAGGATAGGCTCCAAAGCTATATAGAGAAATCCTTTCTGGAAAAACAAAAAACAAAAACAAAAGCAAGCAAACAAAAAAAGGTATTTGTGGATATAATATAGAATGGTGGTCTGTAACTATGAACAGGTTTCATCCAAAGACCACTGGGAACCCAAATGAAGGAAGACAGAGATACTGGGTTTATCTTCAGAATGATGTCTTTGGAAGGTCCTGTCAGAGGGCAGACTTCCTTCCAGTGGTTTGGGAGAGGTTTCTGGTAGAAGGAAGGACAACTCCATGGTGTGATTGCACAGTGGCCTTACCTCTTATTTTCACGTAGACAAACCCAGGTGGCCCTGTTTCCTTTCTCTTTGTCATACTGTCAGAGGAGCTGTTCTCCAGTGGTTGTTCCTGTAGATAATTTCTATCCAACAGAACACAAGGTCTGTGAATGTAGCTTGTCATAGCATTGAGGCTTAGCTGTGGGCTGTGGGTTTCTAGCCAGAGTCTTTCATGGCAAGGCTCTTACTAGAAAGGCCGGAAAGTAGACGAGAAGTTAGGGGTATCAGTTCTCTGAGCAACAGTTTATGGTTGCTAACGCAAGACTATATTCATTAAGCACTACTGTAAGCCAGGTCTCTGTTGGGGGGGGGGCCAGGACAGCAGGCAGAAGAAGACTGCCTAAGTAGTTGGCAAAAGTGCCTAACTTGGGCTGGAGAGAAGGCTCAGAGGTTAAGAGCACTGACTGCTCTTGCAGAGGTCATGAGTTCAATTCCCAGCAACCACATGGTGGCTCACGACCATCTGTAATGAGATCTGGTGCCCTCTTCTGGCCTGCACGCAAACATGTAAGTAAAATACTGTATACATAATGAATTAAAAAAAAAAAAGTACCTAACTACCTGGCAGGGTCCAGCCAGGTTAGGATTTAGACCAGGCAGTGAGTGGCGCAAATCGTCTAGGGGGAAAGCAGGGAGAAACTGCACAGGGTATTTTTTTTTTTTGAAGAAACGAAGGTCTCGGAGGCCAGTGGAACACATGTGAGGCAGTCCAGATGTTTTGGTGGCTTTGGACAAAAGGGTCAAATGTGGGTGGACAGGGACACAAGGAGCACTATAGCAGGTCTAGGGCAGGAGAGGGGAGGTGGAGTAAGTCAGCAGGAGGGATTCGAGAGGAAAAAGGCCTTTGCAGACAATTTTTAGAACATAGGGGAGGGGCTTCTAGGGATGAGACCAGGACCTGAGGCATGCGCCCTACAACGGGGCTTAAGCCCTAATAAGAGCAGTTTGAGGTCCTCAAATTCGACTGGCCATCTACATAAAGAAGTCACCTGTGAAGGGTTGCTACATTTCTGCTTCCGGAGAGCTCAGGGAGCAGCCAGTCGCACTGCGGGGAGAGATGGGGGTATGCTTAATCAAGATGGCCTGCCTCTGGATGGCTTAATCAAGATGGCCTGCCTCTGGATGGCTTAATCAAGATGGCCTGCCTCTGGACGGCTTCTTCGACTGCTGCGTTTCCCCAGCTACATAGCAAAGAGTATTTCTTTTTGGATATGTTCAGCCTCCATTAGGGGCTCTCCCTTCCCAGAGGTCAAGGTCTTCTTTCCTTAGATGTCACTCTCCACCATTCTGGCAAGGGATCACTGGTCCCTCTCCCACTCTCCATTTCCGGTGTCTTCTCAGGATCCAGGACTTGGGATTTGACAAACCCCATGACTGAGGTAGTCAAGCCTTCATTCCTTGATGTGTAAACCGGAAAATCAGCCTGTACCTTTCTGCTTAGTTACTCTTTTACTCTTCTTTTGGAAGATTGATCCTGTGTTTTGTTTATTTTGTTTTAGATCTTATAAGTCTGTTTAGAAAATACGGATAACTTCTCGAAGCAGAAACCCACAGCTAAGCACTGAGATGAATTCCTGAATCCAATTGCAGAGAGGGAGGAGTGAGGAGCAAAGGGGTCAAGACCATGCTGGGGAAACCCACAGAGACAGCTGACCTGAACAAGGGGGAGCTCATGGACCCCAGACTGACAGCTGGGAAACCAGGCCCCCTGCACGTGGGTGTCAGTTAGGAGGCCTGGGCAATCTATGGGACCCCTGGTAATGGAACAGCATTTATACCTAGTGTACGAGTGGACATTGGGAGCCCATTCCCCATAGAGGGATACTCCCCAGAGTATCCCCATAGAGGGATACTCTCTCAGCTGACCCTGGGCATCACCCGGGAAGATGCGTCTGCACAGCAGTTACCAGCATGATTGGTGTGGAGGAAGAGGACCGAGGAGAGCTTTGCTTTCTTTAATCCTGGGTCCCTCTGAGGAGGGCGTGGCTTAAAACTACCTCTGCTAGATTCGACTAATCCATTCAGCTGGGCTCGCCGCATTTGGGGGGAGGGTGACACAGAGGCTCAATTAACGGGGAAGCCCGGTAGAATCATATTGTACAAATGCAGATACGTCTGAAGTGTGGCCCAAAGGCAACAAGAGGAGACTATTGGGGCTACAGACCCCCCAAGTGAATCTAGGATTCGCTTTGTGCTACCTATCAGCTGAGAAGCCCACAAGCAGAGACAAGAATTGAATCCAAAACTTCTGGACACAGAGAACTGGCAGTCTGAGAAGACAGTGGATCTCTTTCCTGGAGAACTGCCTTGTAGACATGAGGTTACATGGGGGGGGGACGCAGCCAGTCGTCTGGAGCTCAGGCTTGCTCTCTCGTCAGCCCCATTCAGAGCTCGCAGTGTCCAGGCTCCTCAGTGTCATCCCGCGCATTCTCCGTCACTCTTCGCATGTGTGGGCGCGGGCCCCTCTTGAAATGTGGGCTTTAGTTTCTGCTGATATCCAAGGGCATCTGGGCTTGGGGAAGGTAACGGAACCAACAGTCCATTAACAGTGTGGACAGGCTACTGATGGCATGTAATGGAGGTTTCTTTTCACAATATGGAGTTTAAGTGTGTCTTTACAATGCAGAATACACAAGTGTTCCTATCCCTTCTTCCTGTCCCCTGTTGTAAGGTGGGAGGCCCCAGGGAGGGGCGTGGGAGAGAAGAAGACATGGGAGATGGCTATACCGGAAACTGTCTTGGAGCTTGGTGAGACGCCTGAGCGGGAAGTAGTACTCAGGAGAGAGTTAGCCACCGTTTGATAACAGCCGGTAGACTTGTTTGTAATCCATAGCTCCAGCTATTATAAAGGGAAAGATGCTCCTTACAGAAAAATTAGAAATGCATGGAATTGGGTGAAAACTGAAAAAAAAAACCCAGTCACCTATCCTGAGGCCAATGCTAACATTTGCACATATTTTCTGCATATATATATATATATAAACTTGCCTTTCCCCCCACTTAACATGACCTTATAAATACACTCATATATTTCATTAATCTTTATGTCAAGCATAAGTACCATGAAATTCCATTATGCTTTGCATTCAGTTAGAGAATTAGTCAACAAATATTCAGTTCTATGCTTCAGGCTCTGAGGATACAAGAGGAAATAATTAAACGGACAAGGCCCTTCGCTTCCTGAGTCTTATATTCTGGAAGGAGTTAAAGCAGGACATAAGTCATTAGCTCTATCTGTGAGATAATCTGTCCCGGTCCGAGGGACATTCAGTGTGGGCCTGGAGGACACCTAGGAGAGAGATGAAGGACAAGAGATACGAGAAAGGATGACAAGACAGGACTCTGAGCAAGTCGACAAAACTTTATTCTTTCCAAGGGGTATTTAAAGGACTTGGAAGAGGAAGCGAGGAGGGGAGGGAATGGGGGTGATGGCCACAGCTGCAAGGACACTGTCAGGGCAGAGGTCAGTGGGAGAGGCAGAGCCTCCTGTGTTGCCTGGTAACCTAGTCCGCAGGGCAAGGGGACAGGGGTAGAACCTCCTGTGTTGCTATCTTTCCCGATTGCCCAAGCCTATCTCTTCAATTTAGTTTGGTTGCCTGTGGTCTCAGTCAGAAGACAACAAAAGTATGGAGACTACACATGCAGGCATCTTGTTGAACAACTTCCCAATAATAAGAATAAGTAACAGGGTGAAGAGAAGATTTTTTAAATGACATTTAAAAACATTTTTATTAGAAACAAGCTTGTTTTACATGTCAATCCCAGTTTCTTCTCCCTCCCCTCCTCCCCTGCCCCTCACTGACCCCCCTATCCTTTTTCTTCTCCCTAGGGAGAGTGAGGCCTTCCATGGGGGATCTTCAAAGTCTGTCATATCATTTGGAGCAGGGCCTAGGCCCTCCCCTGTGTGTCTAGGCTGAGAGAGCATCCCTCTATGTGGAATGGGCTCCCAAAGCCCATTTGTGCACTAGGGATAAATACTGATCCATTACCAGAGGACCCATAGATTGCCCAGACCTCCTAACTGACAGTCAGATTCAGGGGGTCTGAGTTGGTACTATGCTGGTTTCCCAGCAATCAGTCCAGGGTCCATGAGCTCCCCCTTGTTCAGGTCAGCTGTTTCTGTGGGTTTCTCCAGGCTGGTTTTGACCCCTTTGCTCATCACTCCTCCCTCTCTGCAACTGGATTCCAGGAGTTTGGCTCAGTGTTTAGCTGTGGGTGCCTGCTTCTGTTTCCATCAGTTACTGGGTGAAGGCTCTAGAATGGCATTTAAGGTAGTCATCAATTTCATCATCAGGGAAGGACATTTAAGGTAGCCTCTCCACTATTGGTTAGACTGTTAATTGGGGTCATCTTTGTAGATCTTTGGATGTTTCTCTAGTGCCAGATTTCTCTTTAAACCTGTAATGGCTCCTTCTATTATGGTGTCTCTTTTCTTGCTCTCCTCTGTTCTTCCCCAGACTCGATCTTCCTGCTCCTTCATGTCCTCCTCTCCCCTCCTCTTCTCTCTTCTCTTTCTCCTAACTCTCCTTACCCCCATCCTCCCAATTTGCTCAGGAGATCTTGTCCCTTTCCCCTTCTCCGGGGGACCATGTCTGTCTCTCTTAGGGTCCTCCTTATTTCCTAGCTTCTCTGACGGTGTGGATTGTGGACTGGTAATCCTTTGCTCGATGTCTAAAATCATTCCCTGAGACTGTCTATAGAAGGAAGCACCACTGTGGTCAGAAGCTCATGCCCAAGGGAGTCTCTACCGTGTTGTCCATCTGCTTTCCCAAGTTTCCAGAAGGTGAGCAATTTAATGAAGGGCCAGTGACCCTTTATGTGTCAGGGAAATGTTATGTACGGGAAGATTTTAGGGAACAGCGTCTATGGATCGCATATTATGAACAGGTTTGGACTGTTTTCTGGGTATACTTTTTAATTTTCAGCTTTTGATGCAAACAATTTAAATTTCCATGTTTTTTTTTTTAAAGTCAGAGTCTGACTATGTAAGCGAAGCTGGTATTGAACTCCCAGCCCTCCCTGCTCATTCTTTGGAGTGCCGGGATTACAGATGTTTATGCCCTGTGTCAGCTTAATTCCATTCTTTGATCTAAATGCTGGTGGTGGAACAGGCTCTGGCACCCAAGGGTAGCTTGCTGGAGCGTTACAGTCTCGTGTTATTTCTTCTGAGTTTAGTGACGAGGCTCGCTACATCTGCCGCAGCCTGATCATGCCCCTGCTGCATGCGTCTCCCTCTGTGCCTTTTCCAGCTAATACCTATTTACCTTTCGCGGTTTCCAGGCTACATCCCCAACGTTGCCACCGTTGTCTGCTGTGACTCCTGCCTGAGAGCGCAGATCACAGGCAGTCTCTGCTTGTGTCTGTAGGTTTGCACCGTCTGTGCTGTCACTATGCTGCAAATGCCACAGAGATAGGACGTGAGTACGTCTTCTCTTCTTTGCCACGTCAGTGGCCTGCTGGGCACATCATCGAGCCAGATAGATCACGGCAAGCATAGGCAGAACTTAGCATAGCCCCGCATTCCACCAGCGAGGAACTGGGACTCAGGGCCCACAGGTCTCAGCTCATGAACCTAGTTGCAGCACAGGAACTAGGATTTAAGTCCCTTGGATCCCATGGTAATGCTCCCTCCACAGGATCACAGGAACTCTGTGTGTCCTTAGCACTCTTATGATGAATCCAGAAGAGTTGCTTAAAGTGTAGCTTACGTACATAGAGATGTAAACAATTTACAGGTCTATGACAACACGTCTTATACATGTTGGGGCATGTTTTAATGCTGAAATATTAGCCATGTATACTTTTATTATGTTTTTAAAATTTATTTTATAGACCAACCACAGTTTCCTCTTCCTCCTCTCCTCCTGTCCCCTCCCCCTACCTCCTTTTGACCCCCCCCCCATCCACTATCCAGAAAGGGCAAGGCCTCCCATGACAGTCAGCAAAGCCTGGCATATCAAGTTGAGGCAGGACCAACATCCTCCTCCTGCATCAAGGCTGAGCGGTTAGGGACCCCACAAACAGTTATACTACAGTTATACAACTGTCACCCTTGTGCAGAGGGCTTGGTGGGTCCCATGCTGGCTCCTGAGCTGTCACTCTAGTGTCCGTGAGCTCCTGGTCTGGAGTCCACGAGCTCCCCCGAGCTCAGTCAGCTGTCTCTGTGGGTTTCCCTATCATGATCTTCACTTCCCCTCTGCTTATATAATCCCTCCTCCCTCTCTTCAGCTGGACTCTTAGAGCTCAGCCCAGTGCTTGGCTGTGAATCTCTGCATCTGCTTCCACTAATAGGCTTATATATAAACGCACACACACATGTATATATATATGTATATATATGTATGTGTGCATACATATGTACATATGTATGTATATGTAAGCATCTCCATAGACCGTGTGGCAATACAGCCAGTCATTGTTTTCCAATGACACATCTAAGTCCTTACTTGCCTGGCCGCTGCAAAGCTCACCACACAGGCTGGCATCCTGAGACTCCCACATAGGCCGATCCCACTCTCCTGGTTGGTAAGTGAACCCGGCATGCTTCACCATGCCCACCAGCTTACAGAGTTAGCCTTTTCTTTTCTCATGACAGCTGCCGTGGTTGACTAGGCCCCGTCTTGTAAGTTCTAGAACCCCAATCATTTTTTTCCCCTTCCGTGGCATGGCATCTAGAGCGAGCAGCTTTTGCCTTAGCAAACACCGATGTGCTGTCTTTGGAGGGACTTACCGTTTTGACCAGATGGAGTTTCCAGGGGAGGTTTCCAGGGAGCTATGTGCAAGCCCTTGGGGAGGCTGGTACACGGAACAGATCGTCACACACCCCCCCCACTTTAATGCACTCCTTTGTGATAGAACTTGGAGACTCCTCCCCTCATGTCTCCTCTGCTTGGATCTGCTTTGGCGAAACTGGCTCCAGCAAATCACAAACAGAAGCTGGAAAGCACTGGTGCTGAGCGAGGCTCACCTAGGAATGCCACGTGACAGAGCCTGGGCCAATCCTTGGAGATGAGAGGCCAGGAGGAACAGTGACAGGCGCTTGCAGCTGAGGGCCTGAACAGCGTGTCACCCAGCCAAGTGTTGGCTCAGGTCAGCACGGAAGAGCTCAGCCATGAAGGATGAACTGTGTCTGAGTTTACAAGACAAAAACCACCGGATTTTGGGAGAGTCAGTTACGTAGCACTAGACCCCAAGCCTGCGTCTGATGGCTCCCGAGTCCAGAATCTTCTAGCTCTGTTTCTGTCGTCTATTTTCCGGATTGTTTTTGTTGTTACTGATCTCATGCAGCATGTCTCCCTGCCTACGTGGCTATTTATGTTATACACTGGATGCTATTGAAAAGAAGTTACAGAAAACGTTTCAGGGCAGCGTAGTCAGGAAATAGAGGGGGCGCCTAAGAGACAAGTGTCCCCTCACTCACCTTGTCTGGTTCCCACCCCTACCTGGTTGATGCCCAGGAATTCTGACATAACTGTCTGGAGTGTCTACAAAAGAGCTGTACGCCTCTTTCTGACACACCTCCCAAGCGAGGCTTGTGAACGACTTTTGTCTAGCCTCCTGTGACCTGTTTGTCTGTTTATTGCTAAAATCCCTTGGGTGGTTTGTGTCCATTAGGACTCCCCTTCTCCACCTAGGGACCTGTGCAAAGAGCATAAAAGTCTCTCAAGGCTGAAACTGGGCGCTGTGGGGCAGTCTTTGTGCACTGTGAATGTGCATTGCTCTCCCTGTTAATAAAAAGCTGATTGGCTGATAGCTGGGCAGGAAGAGATCGGGAGAGGCAGCCTGACACACAGAGAGTTCTGGGAGGAAGAAGGGCGGAGTCAGAGGGGTTGCCAGCAGGCACAGAGGGGACAGGAGGTCAGGGTGCCATGTTGATAAAGGCACCTCCGTGTTGGCAGAGCGTAAATAATGTGAACATGGGTTAGCTTAAAGAGCTATTAGTAATATGCCCGAGCTATTTATTGGCCGAGCATTTATAAATAACACTGAGTCCTCAGTGTGTTTATTTATTTAGGAGTTGCTGGTGGGACAGAAACTTCTGCCTACAACCGAGGATAAGCAGAGGCTTTCCCTGGGCTCTCAACTTAGTTACAGATACCATTCAAGCCCCAAAGCTCACAGCCTGCTTCCTCTAAGGCACTCAGGGCACCCTCTCCTGACACCCACACTTGGCGTGCTTCCTGTAGGCCTTGTGTCTCCGTTTAATCCATAGGCTTGCCAGGTTTGCTCCCCTCCATCGTGAACTTTGTTTCTGGGCGGGCTGGCTGCCCCCAAGCAGCTGCCTTCCCCACCTCCAGACCCCTCAGACGGCAGTGCAGCAACCTTTAGCTGCCTTCCCCACCTCCAGACCCCTCAGACGGCAGTGCAGCAACCTTTAGCTGCCTTTCCTGCTTCTGGCGACAAGCTGAGGTTGAAGATTATACAAGGCTCCTCCTCCTCCGGAGAGAATTACACTCGCTTAGGGAGGCATGTAGGCATTCTTATAGTAAGAAATAATACAGAACCAACTCAGCTCTCTTTTGGTGATTGTTGTGATTTGAAGCTAAAGCAGGGTTTTGCCTATTTCAATGTAATCCTTGTGTATAGATCCCAGCAGGCCCTCCACAGGAGAGATAGTGGGTTCACCAGCCCCCCCACCCCGCTCCCCTCTCTTGGTTGGTGCGGGTCCTCATTTTCTGCTCTTAGCCCATTCAAAATTACCAAGAGAGTTTTTTCAGATCCTCAGTTACCATTTAAGAACCAACATAACCCTCAGATAAAAAGCACAGAGGCGCCCGTTTGGATCTGAGTGTCCCCTCTTTCTATCATTTGTCTTGGTCGTGATGTTTTCTCACAGCGACAGAAAAGTTACTAATCAAAAGGGCGTCAGCCATCGCTTTTGGTTTGCTAAATGCCTGCTCCTCACTCCTCCGATGATTCCAATGGGATTTTTGGGAAAGCTACACAAAACTCTATACTTAAATACCCGCCGCAACAGATTTCACTGCGTTTTATTACCCGAATCTATATGCAGCATGTTATTTTATGGCTTTTAAAGCATTTTGATGAGGATTTTATTCGTAAGATTTATTTTTATTTTATGTGTATGAGGTTTTATTTGTCTGTCTGTCTGTTTGTCTGTGTATCACATATGTGCCCGGAAGTAGTAGGGAGGGACTCGGAGTGTGAGTGGCAGCCCTTTGTGGTCTGGAGTGAGGGAAGAGACATCTCTCTCTCTGAGACTCTGGTGAAGAGGGAGGGTCAGCTAGCTGCTCCTCAACCTCTCCGAGCTAGAAGATTTTCACCCCAGCCCCTGACTCCCCAGTCTTTATTAGTAAATAGAACAATAAAGATTTAGTTAAAAACGGCATTTGGCGGCATCAGCAGAGCCGGGGGATGCAGAAGTCCCTCAGGGTCACCGCCTGAGGACGCTGCAGTTGTGGATTCAGGTACGGCTGTGGTGCCAGTGATAAACCAACTCTTAACCACTGGGCCACCTCTCCAGCCCCTAATGAGGGTTTCCTGAACACAGGTCTTTGTTAGGACACGAGAGAGAGAGAGAGAGAGAGAGAGAGAGAGAGAGAGAGAATATCTTCCTTCTCAAATCTAAATGGGCTTCACCTCACTATCTGAAATTTAAGCCCCTTTCTCTGTTTTATGAAACATTTGTTTATCCGAGTAGTGGTGGCTCACGCCTTTATTCCCAGCATGTGGGAGGCAGAGGCAGGAGGATCTCTTTGAGTTCATCAAATGCCCAATCCACTTTTCCACTTGGTGTTTTCTGGGAATGTAACTTTTATTTTTCTTTTCTGAAATTAACTCACATTTTCTCCCATTCCCAACTTGCTCTTTCCCTGGTGTTGGGAAAGAGAAGCTGCGTGTTGTCTAATTGAAAAAGTCATCTCTGACACCTTCTGAATTCTAGCCACAAATCCAATCATTCACTATGATCCTATACAAATTCCTTCTAGTTTCCCCTCAAAAGCCTTCATGTCTCCAAGCCTAGACTTAAATTATTTATGTCCATCTTGGATGTGTTAGTTACTTCTGAAGGACTTTTTTATATCCTTCTGCATTATTATCACAGCAGTCGCGGTGGTAATTCTGATTGCCAATACAACAGTGAGACTCTGGAACTTGCTGTGCCGATGAGGCTGGTCTTGAATTCACAGGGACTCTCCCTACTTCTGTCCTCCAGTGATGGGATTAAATATGTGACTAACAAAACTGAAACCGTGAACACAAGTTTCCTTACTTGGAGCCTCCACTTCCCTTGGTTTCCACACCGTGGCCATGCCGGTTAACTGTCTGAGCCCCGTACCCGCCGGGTCCCCACGCCCACGGCCCCTCCCATCAGCGCACCTCCCACCGCCCCGCCCTGAACCCCTGTGAACTCCCACCCACTCTTTGCTCCCTCCAGGAAACCGGGGCTCCCTCTGTGCCTCAGAGCTCCCGCGGTTCCTTCTGCAGAGTTTCCATGACTGTAATCATGTAGCCGTATAAGCGGTTGCTTAGAGACAACCTCCCTAATGGACACTTGAGCTCCACGAGGGCAAAGGACCACCCGGGGTGCGGTTGACGGACCCTGTTCCCAGCACTTGGAACCATCATCGTCTTCATGACCAGCCAGGGAGACCTAGCTTCCCTCCCACGCTCCTCCCACTCCTGGAAACTTTCTTCTCCACAGTCTCTCCCACCCGTCTCTAACTCACGCGGCTTAATTAGAGTTAGTTACACACCCGTGGTGGCCGGGTATTTTACTGGATCAACGAGCGATTTACCAGCGTCTACACCACTGGGGAAAATGCCTTCTCCCCTAGCAACATTAGCTGACAACAGCTTCTCAGCTAGGGCCAGGGAGCTCGTAAGTCAGTGCGGGGATGTTGGCAGAGACACCGTATGAAGATCTCGTGCATGCAAACACGGCTGCTATGAATCTGTGGATGCAAAGGCCGTGTCACCTCCAGGAGCCGGCGTTTCCCGGCTCTTCCTGTGTCTTCCTCTTTCACAGCGTCTCCTGAGCCGTCTGGAGGGGGAGGGTAATACAGACACACCATTTTGGAGCAAGTACTCGCTATCATCACTTTTTCCGTTATGAGTTTCTGTATTAACCACCACTCGATGCAAAAAGAGGTTTCCTTGGCAGTACTTTGAGAACAGTACTAATCCATAGGTATAAACACAAACATTTAGAATGTAGTTTGATGTACCTCTTTGGTGAAATAACAGAAAGAGATTTTCTCCACTTGAGTCTATGACTTCTCTAGTCACAGGCTTTTGAACAGGTGTATAGTGAAAAACACGAATTCCCTCCTTTGTAATGAGCCCCAAAGTCTGATCCAAAAGTGATTGGTTACCCCCATAATGTTCACCCCACGATTGCACCAGCGGACACATTTTTGTCTGTGAGATCAGTGCTGTGGCATGCAGGGTAAGGTCATTGATGATGTTTCTCCTCCAGTGACTTGAATAGCATCTTCTAGCCCTGAAAGTCAGTCAGCAGGGAGAAAGTTTTCAAACTGGTTCCAAGTTGATTTGTCTACCTGCAACCATAGCGTGCCGTGTCTTCAGCAATCGGGTCATACCGTGTAGTTCTGGTTGGGAAACAACAGCAATGGGTAGCTACTACTTGTATTGTCTTAGGAGCCTCTGGGTTCTCTCCGACTAGTAATTCATAGGGAGGTATCCCAGGCCTGAAACTGGAATTTTTTGTTTAATAACCCACGGTTTCTGGGAACACTATTATCCATTCAGGATAAATCCCACCCCCTCTCTCTCTTTAATTACATTTTAAAACTAGTTTACAAAGTATCAGGTTTCCATAAAGCTTTTTATATATCTCCAGTTTTTGGCTATTCCTCTCCCCACCCCCTTTTCAATCCCACCCCCAAACATCTTCCAGCCTAAGCCCCCATTATCCCCCCTCTCTATCCCGGCTCTGCTGTCCCCTTGCAGTAGCTGGAAGGAGAATGGTCTCCGTAGGCACACACGTTT